GGCAGTGAGCTGTTGCTCATGGTAAGGGATCTTGGGAAAGTGGCCTTATAAATTCATGGCAGGTATTCTAGGAGGAGTGGACTCACGTTCATGGTAGGGATTGTAGGGCCAGTAACGTATGTTCGCAGTAGGAAATCTACAGTCGGGGCTTGTGTCCATGGAGTGAAATCTTTAGGCAGCGGACTCTGTTCATCGTGGGATCTAGGGGCAGTGAGCTGGTGTTCGTGGTAAGAAATGTAGGCGTAGTGGGTTTATGTTTATGGTGGGAAATGTAGGAGCAGTGGACTTCTGTTCCAGGTAGGAATTCTAGGATCTGTGAACTTCTGTTCTTGTTGGGAATTAGAGAGGCAGTAACTTAAGTTCATGGTGGGAAATCTGTAGACAGTGGATTATGTTCATGGTGGACAGCCGAGGGTGAGAGTGCTTATGTTCACTGTAGGATAACTGGGGCAGTGGGTTTATTTTTATGGTGTGAAATCCGAAGGATGTGGGATTATGTTGTGGGATATCTTGAGCCAGTGGGCTTCTGTTCATGGCTGTAAGTCTAGGGCACGGGTCTGTAGTTCGTGGTGGGCAATAGTGGCACTGAGTGTATGTTCATGGTAGGAAATCTATGGCTAGACATGGTGGGCTTATGTCGACGATAGTAAATCTTTGGCAAGTGGGCTTATGTTCATGGTTGTAAATTTAGGGGGAGTAAGTTTTATTCGTTGTAGGAAAGCTAGGGATAGTGGGTTTATGTTCACATTAGGAAATCTACAACAAGTGGGCTCATATTCATGGAAGAAAATCAAGGACAGCAAGCTGTATTCATGGTCGGAAACATAGAGGCCGTGGGCTGTGTTCATGGAGGGAAATCTAGGGACAGTGAGCTGTATTCATGTGGGAAATGCAGAGGCAGTGGGCTGTGTTCATTATGGGAAATCGAGGGTCAGTGGGCTTAGGTTCACGGTGGGATATCTGTAGACAGTGGACTTCGGTTCATGATATGAAAACTAGGGGGCAGTGGGGTTACGTTCATGGTAGGAAACCTAAGGGGAGAGGACTTGTTCACTGGGATATAGGGTAGCAGGCTCATGTTGATGGTAGGAGATCTAAAGGCAGTGGGCTTATGTTCCTGGTGGGCCATCAAGGTGCAGTCAGATCGTGTTCATGGTGAGAAATCTAGGAGTAGTGGGGTTATGCTCAGTCAGAAACTTAGGTGCAGTGGAAGTGTGCTCTGATGGGCAATCTAGGGGCAATAGGCTGTTGTTCATGGTGAGGAATCTAGGAGTAGTGGGGTTATGCTCAGTCAGAAACTTAGGGGCAGTGGAAGTGTGTTCTGATGGGAAATCTAGGGGCAATAGGCTGTTGTTCATGGTAAGAAATCTAGGGAACGTGGGTTTATGCTCACGGAAGAAAATCTTGGGACATTGAGCTGTATTCATGATAGGAACTCTAGGGGTCGTGGGCTTATGTTCATGATGGGATATGTATACGCAGTGGGCTTAAGTTCATGGTAGAAAATCTAGGGCTGGTGCCCTTAGGTTCATGATGGAATAGTATAGGCAGTGTGGTTATGTTCATGGTAGGATATCTACAGGAAGAGCCCTTATGTTCCTGATGGGAAATCCACAGGCAAAGGGCTGTGTGCATGGTAGGAAATCAAGGGCAGGGGGCTTGTATTCATGGTGGGAAATCAGTTTGCAGTGTGATTATGTTCATGGTGGAAAACTAGTAGTGGTGGGCTTATTTTCATGGTGGGAAATCTATAGGTAGTGGGATTATGTTCAAGGTACTCAATCTAGGCACAGTGGGCTGCTGTTCTTGGTAAGGAATCTAGGGGAAATGGGGTTATGTTTATGGTAGATATAGGAGTGGTGGGTTTATGTATATGGCAGGAATTGTAGGAGGAGTGGACTTCTGATCAAGCTAGGAATTCTAGGAGCTATAAACGCCTGGTCAAGGTAGGAATTATTGAGGCAATAACTTATGTCATGCTAGGAAATCTACAGGCAGACGACTTCTCTTTATAGTGGGAAATCTACAAACAATGGGATTATGTTCATGGTAGGAAATCTAGGGCCAGTGGGGTTATGTTCCGGTGGGAAATCTTTAGGCAGTGTTCATGGTATTAAATCTAGGGGCAGTGTGGGCTTATGTTCATGGAACTAATTCTAGTAGCAGTGGACTTCCATTCATGATTGGAATTCTAGCAGCAGTGGACTTGTGTGCATGGAAGGAATTTTAGGTCAGTGTGGGCTTATGTTCATGGTAGGAAATCTGTAGTCAGAGGGATTATATTCATGGTGGGAACTCTGGGAGCATTGGGTTTATATTCACGATAGGATATCTACGGCAACGTGGTTTAGGTTCATGGTAGAGAATCTAGGGAGCGTGGGCTTATCTTCATGGTAGGAAATCTAGGGTCAGTGTACTTATATCTATGGTGGTAAATGTATAGGCAGTGGGATTATGTTCCTGCGGGAAATCTATAGCAGGGGATTATGTTCATGGGAGGAAATTTATGGGCAGGGGATTATGTTCATAGTCGGAAACCAAGGAGCATTGGACTGCAGTTCATGGGAGGACATCTAGAGGCAGTGGGCTGTTGTTTAAAGGTAAGACATCTAGGGACAGTGGGCTTATGTTCATGGCAGGAATTCTAGGAGCGGTGGACTTCTGTTCATGGTGGGAAATCTAGGGGAAGTAACTTAAGTTCATGATAGGAAATCTCCATGCAGTGGGCATCTGTTCACTGTAGAAATTCCTAGGGAGCAGGCCTGTGTTCACGGGAGGACATCTAGGGCAGTGGGCTTATGTTCTTGGGCGGAGGGGGGTTGACTAGGCCGTGGTCTTGGTGTGAGACTCAGGCACAAGCTCTCTGTCGTCGCTGGAAACCTAGCTGCAGTAGAATCATGTTCTTGGTGGGAAATCTCGGGGCATAGGTTTTTTGTTCATGATCGGAAATTCAGGTTTGTAGGCTTATGTTCTTGGTGAAAAAAATGGGTGCAAGTTTTATGTTCATGGTACAAAATCTAGGGATCATACTCTGTTCTTGGTGTGCAATGATGGCGCGCAGGGTTCTCTTAATGGTAAGAAGTGTGGGGGCCGTAGGGTTATGTCCTGGCTGTGCAGTCTTGGTGTTCAGGCTTTCTGCTCAGTTAGGAAGTCTGCTGTCGGCAGCCTTATGTACGTGGAGGGAGAGCTTAGGGCACTGGCTTTCTGCTCCTGTGGGAAATCTACAGGCAGTCGGCTTCTGTTCTTGGTGGGAATACTTGAGCCACGGGATCTCTGTTCATGGCAGGAAATACAGGGAAGTTGACTGTTCTTGGTGGTAAATCTTGAGGCCCCATGTTTCTGGACATGTATGAAATCCAAGGGGTAGGAGGCTTATGTTCTTGGTGGGAAATCTTGGGACACAGGCTTTCTGTTGACGTAGGAAATGCAGGACAGTTGGCTTGAGTTCATGGCGGAGGAAGTATCTGGAAAAGGTGTGTGGAAACGGAGCACAGTCTGAAGACTGGCGTCCGTGCCCATGATTAGGTCTTGGGGAAATGCCACTGGACAAACGCGTGGCAGAGACCTGCTCTGGGGCCTCGGGGGTAGAGCCGTCGTCTGTCCCAGGTGGAGGCAGTCAGCCCTTGCCCCGACGTGCTTGTTGCAGACCCCCGCGTGGCTGGAGCAGATGATCGCACACACTACGTGGCGAGACCTTTTCTACAAGCTGGCCGAAGCCCACCCGGATTGTCTGATGCTCAACTTCACTGTGAAGGTGGACTCATTGGGGGTGGGCTGGGCTCTTCTGGGGCTCCTGCCCTGCGTTTAGGGGTAGGCCTCCATCCTCTCTCTTGGGTACACCTTCCCGGGAAGGCATGGCCTTGGGGAGGCCTGAGGCAGGGCAGGTCCCCATTGTTTCACACGAGAACACACCTCTCGGGCCGTGTGTCGAGTTGGGGGAATCAGGCGTGGTGCCTGTGTGCTGACTGTGACCCTCACGGGGTGGGCAGCTCATCTCTGATGCAGGCTACCAAGGGGAGATCACCAGCGTCTCCACAGCCTGCCAGCAGCTGGAGGTGTTTTCTCGGGTGCTCCGCACCTCACTGGCCACCATCCTTGACGGAGGGGAGGAGAACCTGGAGAAGAACCTCCCCGAATTCGCCGTGAGTCCCCGCCCACCAAAGGGGAGGCCACTGGGGCGGCGTGCTCTGGCTGGGCCCCTCTTCACGCCCAGCTCCCTGCGTTTTCCAGAAAATGGTGTGCCACGGGGAGCACACCTACCTGTTCGCCCAGGCCATGATGTCTGTGCTCGCCCAGGAGGAGCAGGGCGGCTCCGCCGTGCGCAGGATTGCCCAGGAGGTCCAGCGCTTCGCCCAGGAGAAGTGAGAGCCATGCTGCGCCCACCACCCCAAGCACCCAGAGCTGCTTCCCAGCCTGCCCCTCCACCTTGTCCCCAGTATCCCCACCCCACCCCCCACTGCCCAGGGAGGGTCCGTCTGGCTCTTCCAAAGCCCTGGGGAGCTTGCTTGTTGAAGCATCAACATGGGGGCTCTGGTTAAATGCTGGGCTGCTCTTCAGCTCGCTGAAGCTAAGAACTGTTTCTTAGAGAGCAGCCCAGAGCTCTGGAGCCCATCTGGCTGCGCTGCTGTACATTGTGTAGGCAGCTGGAGCCACAGGGTGCCCAGGCCCTGCGGGTGTTACTGTGTCGGGTAGTGTTTCCTTCTTTGTACACGGGACTGTTGGGAATGGGAAGCCACTGGGCAGCAGTAACCACCACCACCACCCACTGTGGTCCGTGGGCTCCTACACCAGAACTAGCTCTTCAACCACTCTTGTTGTAGGGGGCCACCGCGTAGGTCCCCACTCCCAGCAGCCCTGTAGGACAGAGAGGGCTGCCCACAGGGTGTCCGAGTAGAGCGCCCTTCAGTCAGCAGCCAGCCTGTGCTACCTTTTCCTACTGGGAATGGAGTCTGAAAACATCCCAAGCCCACTGCCATCAACTCGATTCTGAGCCGCAGTGACCGTGTAGGATGGAGAACTGCCTCCGTGGGTTTGCAGGGCTCTCAGTATTTCTGGGAGCCTCTTTCTCCCTGGAGTGGCTGATGGGTTTAAAGTGCCCACCTGTGATTAGCAGCCCAGAGCTTTACCCGCAGTGCCCATCCAGCACATGACGCCAGAGCCCTCCTCCTCAGGCACTTGCACCGTGTGGCCTCTGCTGGTGCCCGGCCGGGAACTGGGCTGCCGTTGGCCTCTCCTGCTTGTTCTCTGTGGTGTGTCAGCTGCACAGTGGTCCAGGAAGCGGGGTGGGCGGGGCTGCAGCAGATCGAAGCACCAAGCACAAGAAAGGGGACACCACCGTGGTTCATGCCAGGGTGTGTGGGTATACATGTCTGCCTTCCTTCTGCAGGGGCCACGATGCGAGTCAGATCACACTGGCCTTGGGCACGGCTGCATCCTACCCACGGGCATGCCAGGCCCTGGGCGCCATGCTGTCTAAAGGCGCGCTGAACCCTGCCGACATCACGGTCCTGTTCAAGATGTTCACCAGCATGGACCCGCCTCCTGTGGAGCTGGTGGGTGCTCTTGCTCTCTTGGGTTCACGTGGCATGTACAAAGGTGGTGGCAGGTGTCCTGGGTCACAGTGGCCTGAGCGTGGGGCTGCTAACAGCAGAGTCAGTTGTTCGAAACCATCAGCCACTCCAAGGGAGAAAGATGAGGCTTTAGGCTCCCATAAAGAGCTGCCCCCTTGGGGACCCACAGGCATTTTGTGAGTCAGGCAGTGTGACAGCAGGGACAGTGCGTGCAGCGGCACGGAGGAGCCCTGCCGAGGCAGGGTCAGACAAGGCTCCACCCTCCATCCCTCAGTACCGACTGGCACCAGCGCTGCTCCCACAGCGCCCTGCTCTCCGCTGGGTGTGATGACTCACAGTGATGGGAGTTTATGAGCAAAGCTAACTGATTACCCAGTAAAGTGAGGATAGTCATGGGCCCACAGCAACGCCGCTCCTTGGTGAGCAGCCAGGTCTCTGGCCCTTGGCGTTGGCCTCTGTGGGCCAGGAAGCCTCCCTTTCACTGTCTCACAGCCACAGTCTCTTCGCGGTTCCCCTGCCGTCTCATGGTCTCCTCGCTTAGCCGTGGCTTCTGCCACTCTGACTGGGGCGTCTGTCTCCCTGTGGCCCTGGGTTCTCTCTCTCCGGGACATGGCTTTTGTGTTTCAGCCGCCCATGCTCCCAAGGGAACAAAAGGTGTGCTTTGGTTTACCCCTCCACTTCATCCCCCAATGGCCCTGTCCCTCCTCGTAGCAAAGCTCCTCCCAAACGGGGTCGTGGCCGCGGGCACAGAGGGCAGACCAGCGCGTCGGAGGAGGAGCTCAGCCCCACCAGCGCTGCCCCAGCTGCCTGCCTTCCTCTCAGTCGTTCAGTAACAATGAAGCTCAAAAAGGGTGCCTTTGGGGTGTCTGTGTTTCGTTCCTGATGGGATGCCCCTGTAGTTGCTCGGGCACAGCACTGCCAGAGCTGGCTGCCCAGGCTTGGCAGGCGCCTCCACGCTGGCCCAGCCTGCATCCCTGCATAGGTGCTGCACGTGTCTCTGCAGATCCGGGTGCCAGCCTTCCTGGACCTGTTCATGCAGTCCCTCTTCAGGCCTGGAGCCAGGATCAACCAGGACCACAAGCACAAGTACATCCACATCCTGGCCTACGCAGCCAGCGTGGTGGAGGCCTGGAAGAAGGTGCTGCGCGTTTGGGGAGGGTGGGGCGGGCGTGGCCTGCTCCGCTGGGGGCATTGGGTGGTCAGGCTGCAAGAACTCAGTCCCGCCCACCACCCCACCCGAGTTAGCGTTTCCAGGGCTTTCGTGGGGCGGGGCCTCTGACCCAGCTGCCCATGGCAGTGCCAGGCCAGACCCCCATCTAAGCCAGCTTTGTCCCCGGACACTAGGAGTGTGGGATCAGAGGGGGAGGGGGTATGCAGAGACCCCGGGAACCCCTCCGTGTGTTCCAGAACAAGCGTGTCAGCATCAACAAAGATGAGCTCAAGTCCACGGCCAAGGCTGTGGAGACCGTCCACGGCCTGTGCTGCAACGAGAACAAGGGGGCGGCCGAGCTGGTGGCTGAGCTGAGCACGCTCTATCAGTGTATCAGGTGGGCCCGGCCGCCGCCCTTTGGTTCTCCCTGGGACTCCCAGAGCCTCTCGGACGACTGGGGCGAGCAGCCAGACTGAGCGGGAGACCGGGATGGCATGGGCAGATGGGTGGGGTAGCAAGGATCAAGGCTTCCCCAGTCAGCCTCCTGCAGGGCGGCCGAGGGTGGAGGGGATGGACGGAGCAGCCTTGGGGGTACTTGTGTGTGCACGTACGAGCCTCCCTGGCCCTGTGCTCGCCCAGCGTGGATTCAGGCGTGCCTTCGGGTCTGTGGCAGCAGCACCCTGCCTTGGGCACTGCAGGTTCCCAGTGGTGGCAATGGGTGTCCTCAAGTGGGTGGATTGGACCGTATCAGAACCAAGGTACTTCCAGCTGCAGACTGACCACACCCCCGTCCACCTGGCATTACTGGATGAGGTAGGTGACAGGGTCACCCGTGCCTGTGGCGAGCTTGGCCAGACAGCTGTGCCTGCCATGAAGGAGGGTTGTCACCGAGGGTCCTGGGGGGTGGGAGCAAGAAAGGGAAGCTGCGTGGGCCTGGGGCTCAGCCCCTGCTCATGGAGGTTTCCGGCCTCTCTGCAGATCAGCACGTGCCACCAGCTGCTGCACCCCCAGGTCCTGCAACTGCTGGTCAAGCTCTTTGAGACGGAGCACTCCCAGCTGGACGTGCTGGAGCAGGTGAGCAGGAGCCTGGGCCCTGCTGGGGGACTGGGCTCTCATCCTGACGGCTCCTCCCTCCCGCCCCCTGCCCGCAGCTGGAGTTGAAGAAGACCCTGCTGGACAGGATGGTCCACCTGCTGAGCCGAGGCTATGTCCTGCCAGTGGTCAGTTACATCCGGAAGTGTCTGGAGAAGCTGGACACGGACATCTCCCTCATCCGCTACTTTGTCACTGAGGTCAGCGCCGCTTACCCTCCTGGCCGAGCACAGGGGCGGGCACTGTCTCTCAGACCCTGCTGCGCTGCGGGGTTGGGACTCAAGGGGGGTGGCTGCCTCACTCCCCAGCACGGCACCCATCCCTCAGCTTGCGCGTGTGAACCCCCCCCAGGTGCTGGACGTCATCGCGCCCCCGTACACGTCGGACTTCGTGCAGCTTTTCCTGCCCATCCTGGAGAACGACAGCATCGCAGGCACCATCAAGACGGAGGGCGAGCACGACCCCGTCGCCGAGTTCATCGGTGAGTCCTGGCACCGCGTCCGCACCGCCGCTGCGGAGGACGCTCCCACATGCTGACCCAGCCGCCCTGCCTTCCTTACAGCCCACTGCAAATCCAACTTCATCATGGTCACCTGAGCCCCAGCGCCGTGGAAAAGCCTCCCTGGGCACACCCCAGAAATGGACTCGAGGGAGGAGGTGCTTGGTGGCCGTCAGGACCCCTGGCTGGGCCTACCCC